GTAAAGTGCTCTTGAGTCGGTTCCAACTCATAGTAACCCTGTATAGGATTTCCAAGGAGCAGCTAATGAGTTTGAACTGCCGACATTGTGGTTCAAACCAACCTTGTGGTCCAGTGTTTTATCCCACAGCACCAAACCAGGGCTCCAGAACAGAACTATGGCTCAACAAAATTTCAACTGGCATGTATGAGCTTATTTTCTTCAAGAAGGACAATGGAAGGAGGGATTATCTTCCAGTTGGATCGAATGTAGGGCTATTTTCTTCATGTGGAGGCAACGTGATATTGTTAGTTTTCTAACTAAACTGGGGGTTCTAAGGAAACACACCGCATTCTGATAAGCATTTCAGACTATGGTTGACATATTTAATTAATTCTTCTGTGTGGCATCGATCCCTCAGGAAAAGAGCAATAATTTTGAATGAAGAACGTAGCTACTTCATCTTTTTCTTCGCTGAATGAATCCCCATTGAAAGCCATGAATTACTCAATAGAACTCCCATCTTGTGTCAGTGACCTTAACAACATCCTAGTTATGACAGAGTTAAGTGCCATTGAGCTGGCCTCCATGATCCTGCCTTCTGGTGTTCATGTCCTTGTTTAATACCATTCTCTTGAGTATAGACAGAAGTGAGGAGGTGTCATTTTCAAGATTAGTTTATAAAAGACTGTGATTTCTTTTTTGTCTCTCTCTATCTCTCTCTTTCTCGTTGTTTTAAGCCACTAAAGTTTAGGCTTATACAGCAAAGGATAACCAATACATTGCTGTATTCATCAAGAGAAGGGTCTATTATCTTCAGGTTGTTATTATTCTCTTTACATTTCAGTTATTAGGGCATCCTATGGATGATATGAAAGAAAATCATTTTGTATAGACTCTCATAAACTCAATGAAAATGGAACCACGTAGTAATCACAAAGGAAAAGGAAGACATAAATGGCATCTTCCATAAGAGGTATAATTTCAGAAGAATCAGGGATTTGGGGGAAGAGACTTTATTACGTGTTATTTTCTCATTTTTTAAATTTTTTGCTTTCTTGTCAAGACTCAACTCAAGAGAAAGTAAATTTGTTCACGAACCATTCAAAGTTGGAAGATGAATGGGAGTGTATGTGGGTCTGAAGGAACAAGACTTTTTACTGATGGCAGTCCCTAAGTGAATAAACGTTAAAAGTGAATAGACTGACAACAAGGCTGAAAACAGTTAGACACGAAGTTTTAATGAACTATTTCATATTAAGATATACATTAAGAAGTCAAACGAGAGAAACTAATAGATATTTTTCAAAAACCACATTTTAGGGTAAATCATAGTAAGGTGATGATAATTTGATACCCAAAGTTAAGTCACGGTGACCTGCATACATTCTGATAGATCAGTGTTATTTTCTGATTAGCGAGGAACCACCCATACTAGTAATTAAACATTTTCAATGTCAATCCTAAACATTATGAACTTGAGATAAAGTTTTTATTTTCTTTATCCCTGTGCTATCTGTATATAAAGTTGGACTATGGGAGGTACAGGATTTCTTGTGTCTTATTCTTGCCCAAGTATATGGCAGTGCAGTAGGCACATAAAGGAGGTCACATGGTAAGTATTATGCATTTTTTCTGAAGCAAATTGTGCTCAGTGGTGCTAATTGGAAGCATTTTCATATTAAATCAAACACAAATATACTGTGGCATAAAATGCAAAAATTACATGTGTTTTAAGAGTAAGGAGATTTTCAAGAAATTTTGTTTTTGTTGGACAACCTTTGCACTGATTTCCCCAGGCCCCCTATTATTATGAGTATTTCAGTAGAAAATGGTGAGGTACATGGACTTAGGGTATTTTTGGTTATAGAATTGCTTTTACTATGAATATAGGTGGATTCCATGGTCAGTCTTTAAGTTGTTTGACACTCTAGAAAACCAGAAAAGTAAACTTTGTAAGATGGAAACTCTTAGAGGTCATTTCCAGGATTTCTGCCTTCTGTCATTAATTTAAATTTATAGCTAACTCAGAATATTATCAAGGTGATAATTTGTATCATATCTTATCTGTGTCAAAGTGTTTTACTTCACTAATTGCATTAAAAATATCTTTTTTTTATTACTTCTTTTGTTAACATTACATACTGTTTCACTTAATTTTCCCTTCCTAATTGTTGGAACCCTATGTATTTAAACTATTTTCTCTTTTTTAAAAAAATAATATCTATTTAGAGAGGGTTGCTCTGCTTATCTGGATATTTTGCACAATGCTTTCCCTTCACAAATAAAGGGGTTTAATAGTTGAAAGAAGCCCTAGTGTAGCATTATAGGATAAGCACAGGACTGCTAACCACAAGGTTGGCAGTCCAAATCCACCAGCCCCTCCTCAGAAACCCTATACAGGGCCACTGTGAGCCAGTACCAACTCAACAGCACTTAACACAACAATAGTGGAGAAAAGGAATCAGGGTTGAATTTTTTTCATCATTTCTTTGCTCTTTTTGAATGAAATCATCCCAGTAAAAATTAATCATTGCATGTGAAGTGAATGGTCAGAATATGGTTCAACTTTGTATGTAGAGGTAAAGACCATCTCTAAACTAGAAAAAAAAAAAGAAAAAGAAGAAGAAGAAGAAGAAACCACTACATCATCACCCTAATAATCTAAGGATAAGAAGCGTATGTTAGGTGTCCTAGACTCCTGTGATAATTCGGCACCTAACCATCTACGTGACTTGGGTGCATCACAATCTCATTTCCCTCGTCTGTAAATGATTAGGGGGGCTAGAGAGTCCTAAATGTATTTAAATAGTACCTATTTTTATTTTTCTTAAAATTTGCATGATAAAAAATAGGAAAAAAGAAACAGCAATTAAAAGCAGATGCTTCTGAAAAGATTATGCTGAGGACTGATACTACCAGGAATGGATTTACTACTAAACATTTATTTTTCTTGATTCAGTTATGTGATGTAATTTCATGGTAACTGTAACTCCACAGACAAAAAGTATTTGGACCTAACATGGTTCTTGTATCTTATATCTATATATACGCTATTTTGCTTTAATTTCTGTATAATTATGTTTTACTCTAACATTTTAAAATGTAATAAGATAAGTCTTATTATGATTTTTTTAAATATCCATACATTGAATGATTTCATATAAATAATTGATTATGGACAGACACTGTACTAGGCACTGAGGAAACAAAACGAAAACCACACATCCTCCTCTGCTCTTGATAAACTCACAAGGCTGTAGTCACACAGCCTTGCAGTTGGAACCTAGATCAGCAAAGTGCCCTTGAATCAGATGATCGTTCAAAATGTCCTTCATTGCCTCTCCCCAGTGTAGATCTGAGGAGGGCACTTCTTTTTCCCTTCCTGCAGCCTGGTCCCGTAGGTGAGCCACAAGAAAATCAAGTGAGTCCATTTTTTATGGTGATTTAGCCTTTTCATATAACTCTCATCTATAAATGTATTGCCAGATAGTATTTATGTAAAATAAAGGAACTTGAATGACAAGTGTTTTTAAATTAAAACCATAACGGTTAGCATACCATTCAGTTTAATGTCGATCAATATAGACCTCCTACTGGTAATCATGTAAAGCACTACCAATATCTGACAATGGGAGAATTATGTAGTAAAAATGCATCTTTCTGAGAAACTTATCATCAACCCTGACCTGAAGCTTTCATGGTATTCAGGACCTAGTTCACTAATTAACCCTCTTATTTGGGGCGCTGTGTTCCGATCATCGGGCAGGAAAATAGCTTTCAATGCAGCCATCCTTTGGATGGCAGAGATTCCTAAAGATTTTTGTAAAATTACCCATTTTAAATATGCACATTAATATATATTTTAATTTCTACTCATGAACTCAAATATAATTTTAAGATCCTACAGATTCTTTTATCTGCAGTGATTTCATTTATATGATCCAATTTAATTGGCAAGAGTACTGGCAAAAGATTTTTCACATTTTTGCATTTTCCCCTGCCAGACATCTATTGTAAGCATTGCTGCAGGCTGTCATTTTTGTCTGCCATCCAGGATTTGCTGGAGCAAGTGCTGTGTACCCGACTCAGTGTTGGCCATGTGGGGAGGGAGAGCTTGCAGTTGAGCCCAGACGGTTTTGTTACTCCTTTAGAATTGAAAGCATATGAAACAGATACAGCTTATAAAGATTATTCTTTTATAAATAACATAAACTTAAATAACAAAACAATAAAGTTCAAATACACCTTAAGATAGAGTTTAATGCTGTAATCACAGGAGAAAAAAAAAAGCATGATTATTTGTGGGAAGAGCATTATTAAAAGTCATATTCCCAAAAATGAATTATACAAAAGATGGATTATGTTACTTGAACAAAACTTAAAGATTTCTGAATTTTACTCTCTGGGATTTATAAAATATTATTTTTTGGCAAGTGAGATGAAGAACAGTATTATCATTATTGATATTTTATATACAAGAGTTTTAGCAATACCCTCTTGAGGTGAGCAACATTAGGGAATGGTTCCGGTTAAACAGATACATGCATGTCCTAATCTGATATATATATTTTTAAACTACCTATTTAATTCAATTCCATAGTAAAATTTTTGAGAATATTCTCTCTCTCTTTTCGTTCTTTTTTTTTTTTAGTGTCAGTGGATCATTCTTTTTTAGGAGAAAACATTTCAAATACTGCTTGTCATCCATAGTTAGAGTCGACTTGATTATCTGACAAATCATTCCAGCAGCCTCTAGGTCTGACATATCTTATATAAGATAATCTGCATTATTATTATTATAGCAGCCATTTTATAAGCAGATAGGGATATTTAAATAATCATTATCAGATAATCAAATCTAACATACTCTTAAGGGTAAATTAATTTAAGGAAGAAAAAAAAAACGTTACTATTACTAACACCATGATTGTACAACCAGTTTTACAATTTTTTACAACTTTCAGTTACTTAATCTGATTTTTGCTTTATATTTTTCAAATCTTTCTTTAATGCAGTCTCTTAAAATAAACTTAAATGCGCAAGTCCAGCTTGATCAGTTTTTTTCAGTAGTTTTCCAGCCTTTCTTGGTTACATTTTAAAAAGAAGAAGAAAAGGAAAGGGAAAGGAGAGAGAGAAAACAGTCCACTTAAAGAAATCTCCCTGCTGGAACTGGTTTCTTATATACCATATGTGATTAGGTTATTGCCATAGGAAGAAAGTGGGCTATTCTTTGTTCTTTCTTCGTTTTTTTCCCTCTGACAGGAAGCCCCTTTTGATTCAATGCAACAAACATTTCTCCTCCACTGTGTGTCCATTTAGCTGATGCATATGTGTTGTAATGATTTTCCAGAATTAATTCTTTGAAGTTACAATCTTCATTGCATTCTTTCTGTTCAAAATAACAAACAAAATGATTTTAGAGGAGCTCAACTAAACAAGGAGTAAGCAGGTAATATTTGGTAGAATTGTAAAATACATAAGTTTTCTTTTAAACTTCAGGTTGAATGGCCCTAATGCAGCTTACTAGGTTTAGGTATAACACATTTGCAAAGCAAGCATCTTAAATTTAAAAAACAAAAAGTAAAATTGTACTCATTTATTTAAGCAACATGGTTTCAAATATATTGTTTTTATGGTGTATCAGTTTCTACTTTATTTTTAGTATTAGGTGTCATTTTCTCCTTCTTAGCCATTCTCAGACTCCCCATTGAGTTGGAACCATCTCCACGGCATCTAACAACAATAACAAAGCATTCTAGTATTGCAATGGCCAAGCCACTCATTCCCTTAGCACTGGAAATTTGGTTTAGTTATCAGACCCTCTGCCCCCTGTAAGTGTTGAACATACTTCACAACTTTTCTTTATTTGGCACTTTACTGCTGATGGAAAAATGGAAGGTTAATTTATTTGTTCATTTATCCAACTATTCATTTATTCAAACATATGCTATTATGCAGTTACTTTGTTTCGGCATTATGCTGGGCTGTAGAAATGCAAAGGAAATCTACTAATACTTTATTATAGCAGGATGAACTTTTACATATTTTGCATTGTAAGGCAGTGGGAATAATGTCAATGCTTACAGTTCAAAGCCCATGATTATGAGATTGATGTTGCTAAACAAATTCATGATTCCCCCCCCCCCAAGGGTGTTCATATCAGCAGTGAGTAAATTAGGTGAACTTTAACAAAGAGAGCTTTAATTCTGACAGATGGAAATTTCAGATTTTAAGTATCTGAAGTACACATGGAATTTTAGAGCTAAAAGCATCCTTAGAGTTCAACCAATCTAACTAATTTTACAGATGAAGAAACCAAAGTCCAGAGGCTTAAGCAATTTGTCCAAGGTTGCATAGAAAACAACTTTTCTTAATTCCTGGGTATAAAACATTTAAATAGAATTATTAAATTATATAGTTGGAGAGAAATTAATTCTATTTTTATTTTCCAGAAATCATAAATTATTTAGATCCAAGTAAGTTTGAAAAATTAAGTCTGTTATTAATTAATTATCAATACCTTTGCATAGAGTTTCCCTTCCTTGTTCATTGCAAGGTAGTATTCACTCTCCACCCCTTTGATTGCCACAATTCCAACCGCCACTGTCCTGATTTCCATAATATCTGCAAGGAATCACAGAAAGATGTCAATTATTCACTCAGCTTTCCAGATTACCAAAGACTGATCATTTGCTCTTTGTTGGTTTCAACTGGAAATTGTTAAAATTATTAATATAATTACTTATTCAACTCAAGACCCCCTCCCCTTATCACATATGCACACACACCAAAGTGGTCATTACTAAATATGAATAGTACAAACGGTCTTTGGTTTGATTTTATAGAAAGAAAATTAGATTCTGATAAATAATTTCATATTTAAATTCTTATTTTCATGAACTACATTTCTGATTTGTTGTCATTGTTGTTGAGTGCCTTTGAGTTGGTTCCGAACCATAGCGAACCTGTATAGAGTTTCCAAGGAGCAGTTAGTGAACTTGAACCATTGGACCTTGTGGTTCAAACTGACTTTGCAGTCCAGCGCATTAGTCCACAGTGCCACACCAAGATTCCACATTTCTGATTTACTCTAATAATAGTAATAGCTACCACTTAGTGAGAAGATCAAAGACTATAGCCTTCAGTATGGATTGTACTCAAGGTAAATAAAACAAAAATCATCATAGCTGGACCAAAATATAGCATCATGAAAAATGGAGAATGGATTGAAATTGTCAGAGTTCATTTTACTTGGATCCATAGTCAACACTCATGAAAGCTGCTGTCAAAGTAATCAAGTCACATATTGCATGAGGCAAAACTGCTGCAAAAGACCTCTTCAAAGTGTTAAAGAGCAAAAATGTCACTTTGAGGACTAAGGTATGTCTGACCAAAGCTATGGTTATTTTTAATCACTTCGTATCCATGTGAAAGTTAGACAATGAATAAGGAAGACTATAGAATTGCTGCACTTGAATTGTGGTGTTTGTGAAAAATATTGAAAGTTCCATGAACCACCGGAAAAACAAACAAATCTGTGTTGGGAGAAGTATAATCAGAACACAAAACTTCATATCTCTCATTCTTTGGACATGTTATCAAGTAGGACCAACCACTGAATGATATCATGTTTGGTAAAGTGAAGGGTCAGTGAAAAAGAGGAAGACCCTCAACGAAATGGACTTCTATCATGGCAGCAATAATAGGGTCCACTATATTAGTAATTGTGAGAATGGTGCTAGTACCAACCAGACAGTGCTCTTTCTGTTATGCCTAGGGTCACTATGAGTCGAACTAACTTGAAGGCCCCTAACAAAACTGCAACCACTTATTAAACATATACCACATAATAAGGATTATAAGTAGTCAATATTAAACTTGTAAGTATTAACTCATTTAATCAGCAACACAACCTACAAAGCAGGTTCTGTTGTTTCCCCAATTTTATATATCAAGAAACTGAAGCATAGAGAAATTTAGTAATGTGCCCAAACTTTCACCACTAACTACTAAGTGGCAGAGCTGGGATCTGAAGCCAGATAGTCTGGATATTAATTATTATATAATGCTATGGAAATACATATAGGTAGGTGCCATCAAATCAATTTTGACTCATAGAGATGCCATGTAACAAAGAAGAACAGCCCCATAGTGTTTTCTAGGTTGTAATCTTTATAGTCTATACAGCAGGATATCTATACGTGTATACAGTATATATATCCTGGTGTGGCACAGTGGGTTAATGTGCCAGACTGCAAAGCCGTTTGAACTGCAAGGTCGGCGGTTCAAGCTCACCAGCTGCTCCTTGGAAACCCTATACAGGGTCACTACAGGTCGGAATCGACTTGACGGCACTTGACGACAACAACAGACAGTATATGGAGTCCTGATGTGGCGCTGTGGGTTTTGCACTGGAACCTCAAAGTTCAAGCACACCAGCCACTTCTCGGAAACCCTCGACAGGCTTGCTAAGAGTCAGAAGCGACTCAACGGCACTTAACAACAACAACATAGTTTACATGGTAGGATAAGCACTGGACTGCTAACGGCAAAGTTGGCAATTCAGCCCCATCAGCCACTCCTCAGAAGAGAAACCTGAGACTTGAGAGGACTTAACAACAACCATCTTTATAGGAGCAGATCTCCAGGTGCTGCCACCAGGGTTCCTACACACACAACCCAAACCAAAATGGAACCAAACCCACCACCAAGTCAATTCCAACACACAGTGAACCTTTACAGGGCTTCTGAGACTGAAATCTTTATGGAAGCACACAGCTTCCTTCTCCTGCAGAGTGGCCGATGGGTTGGAACTGCTAACTTAGGTTAGCAGAGCCTGGTGCCTTAAAAAGAGGTTGCGCCTTCTAAATTAATAGCAAGTCATTTGATATAGGAAAAGACCATTGTAGACCAAATTTTGAGTTATATCGTATTTTATAGTTTTATTCCTTTCTCATTTTTAAATTTTTATTGAAATCGCTTTTATAAAACATGAAGTCACATGACTTCTAATGTGTTTTATTTTATAAGTCTGCTTTAAGTACTGTATTTTAATGATTCAGTCAAAATGCAGTAGAATCTTAATAATTTTTTTAATGATGTAGAAATTAAAATATGAGTACTTTTGGTTGTTATTGTTGTTAAGAAAAAGGACAACACAGTAAGTTTGCTGTTAATTACACTTTCTAAATGAAGGTGAGGAGCCCTGGTAATGTAGTGGATTAGGATCTGGGTTGCTAACTGCAACATCAGCAATTTGAATCTACCCTTTGCTTCACAGGAGAAACATAAGACTTTGTGCTCCTGTAAAGATACACAACCTCAGAAACCCTATAGAGAGTCGCTATGAGTAAACCAGCACATAACCACCACCACCACTACCACATGAAGGCACAGGTCTGAGACATTCTCTTATGCTGTACGTAACACAATGCAAAGAAAGCTCCAAGTGAAAATTATCTGCATAAATCAAGTCTTCAAAACTGTTTTATGAAATATTCATTGAATTCAAGGAAAATCTTAATTTTTCAATCCATACCTTTACTTCATCCCTTTATTTATTCTTTTTGCTTCACTTTTCCTTTCTGAAGAATCAAATTGTCACCCAATTAATTAGAATTTGACATTGTTGTTGTTGTTGTCAGGTGCCATCGAGTCGGAACCGACTCATAGCGACCCCATGCACAGCAGAATGAAACAATGTCCGATCCTGGGCCAACCTCACTACCGCTGCCACACCCGAGTCCATCAATGATGCCACCTGGCTGATCCATCTCATTGGGGGTCTTCCTCTTTTTCTCCGACCCTCCACCCTACCCAGCATGACATCCCTCTCCAGCGATTGTTTCCTCCGGACAGTATGTCCAAAGTAGGAGAGACGAAGTTTAGCCATCCTGGCCTCCAAGGAGCACTCTGGCTGCACTTCCTCCAAAACAGATTTATTGGTTCTTTTGGCAGTCCATGGCACTTTCAGTACTCTCCTCCATCACCACAACTCAAAGGCATCAATTCTTCTACGATCCTCCTTGTTCACTGTCCAGCTTTCGCATCCATATGAGGCTATTGAAAACACAATGGCCTGGGTCAGGCACACCCTAGTCCTCAAGCTGACATCTCTACTCTTCAATACTTTAAAAAGTTCCTGTGCAGCAGATTTGCCCAGTGCAATACGTCGTCTGATCTCTTGACTGCTACTTCCGCGAGTGTTGATAGTTGATCCAAGAAGAATGAAGTCCTTGACAACTTCAATCTTTTCTCCATTGATAAGAATGTTGTTTATTGGTCCAGTGGTGAGGATTTTTGTTTTCTTGACATTTAGATGTAATCCATATCGAAGGCTGTGCTCTTTAATCTTCATAAGTAAATGTTTCAAGTCCTCTTCACTCTCAGCGATCAAGGTTGTATCATCTGCATATTGCAGGTTGTTAATGAGTCTTCCTCCAATCCTGATGCCACGTTTTTCTTCATAGAACCCAGCTTCTCATATTATTTGCTCAGCATACAGGTTGAATAAGTATGGTGAAAGAATACAACCCTGTCTCACACCTTTCCCAATTTTAAAACATTCAGTGTCCCCATGTTCTGTTCGAACAACTGCTTCTTGATCTAGAATTTGACATAAGCCTCACTAATATTTTGTCATACACCACTCTGTCAGTTTGTCACACTGTGGTGACTTGCATATTGCTGTGATTCTGGAAGCTATGCCACTGGTATTTTAAATATGAGCAGGGTCACCCACGATAGACAGGTTTCAGCTGAGCTTCCAGACAACGCCAGTATAGGAAGAAGAGACAGATTACTTCTGAATAGTTAGTCACTGAAAACCTTATGCGTAGCAGTGGAACACTGTCAACATCAGAATACTGAATATTGAAACATGATGAAGAGCACCAGAATGTTGCCAGGTATGGTACTGGAAGATTAGCCCCTCAAGTTGGAAGGCACTCAAAATACAATTGGGGAAGAGCTGTTGCCTCAAAGTAGAGTTGACCGTGATGATGCGAATGGAGTAAAGCTTTTGGGACTTACATTTACTGCTAGGGCACAATTCAAAATGAAGATAAACAGCTGTAAACATTCATTAATAATCAGAACATGTAATGTACAAAGTATGAATGTAGGAAAATTGGAAATTGTCAAAACTGAAATGAAACATATAAACATCAATATCCCAGGCATTAATTAGTGAGCTGAAATGGACTGGCATTGGCCATTTTGAATCTGACAATCACATGGTTTACTATTCTGGGAATGACAAATTGAAGAGGAATGGTGTCGCATTCATCATCAAAAAGAACATTTCAAGATCTGTCTTAAAGTACAATATTGTCTGTGATAGGATAATATCCACACACCCATAAGGAAGACAAATTAATACCACTATACAAATTTATGCACCAACCACTAAAGCCAGTAGTGATAAGAATTCTACCAACTTGCAACATGCAATCAATATATGTTGATAATTACTGACAATTGGAATGCAAAGGTTGGAACCAAAAAGGAAGGATCAGTGGTTGGAAATATGGCCTTGGTAATAGAAATGATGCTGGACATTGCATGGTAGAATTTTGCAAGACCAATGACTTCTTCATTGTAAATACATTTTTAAACAACATAAA